GTCGCTTTTGGTACTGAAGGGTACCCCCCCCCTCTAACTTTGTCCGATCGAGCTGAAATTTTTACCACAGATACATGGAAATATTCTCGAGAGGTATAATCGAGCGCTTTCGTTTCTGACTTTCCAAACCAGAATTATAGGGTCCCGACGTCCAGAATCCCGATCTTGCTGCGGAATCTTCAAGTATTTCTCTTATAAAAAAAAAAGAAAGTGAGATTTTTTGAAAAGCTTAATTATACCTCTGAGGAATAGTCTTAGGTATCTTAGAAAAAAATTTCAGCTCAATCGGATAAAATTTCAGGCGGTCGTAATGGACTACAATGCAGCCCTATGGAAAACCGAGGTTTTCCAGAAAACTCTAAAAAAATGCGGTTCAAATTTTTTTCCTCGAACACGTGTCTCATTATTTCTTGTGCTCTGTCTGTGGTAAAAATTTCAGCATGATCGGTCGTACCATCTTCGAGAACCAGAAACGGTCCAAAAAGAGGGAGGAGGGTACCCTTAAATAACAAAAGCAAGAAAGACTTTTGCACCAACCTGTATCGTCTACTTAATTAATCGAAATATTCCTAAACCAACAAAGATTATAACGATTCTTGAAATGATTGATAAAACAAAAGTATACAAAAACAAAAAAATATTCTATTTTGTTTCAAAACACTTATTCTTCATCAAACCTCTGTAGAAAGAAAGGTAATGACTGCATGACCTATATTGTTTTAATTTTATTGTTTAAGAAAATTATTCAACTGTTAAGTATAACTTCTTGAAAATCAGTTGTATTAAAAATTTCATTATCCGACAAATCACTTTCTTCACTTAATGAAGTCCATCGACGTTTATCTGTTAATGGTTCACTTTCAACACGATCAGAATTATCTTCATCATATTGTTGAAATCGTCGCTTAGTAAGCCATTCACTTAATGAACTTGTTTCACCACCAACTGCAATAGGTTTAGATCGAGTCTTATTTCTTAAAAAATATTTTTTATTTTTCCATGATGGAATTCTATTAATAATAATAATGAATATTATAAGTCCGATTAACACTATTAATATTAATGTTAAAGCTATGAATAATAAATTATAATTAAGACGTATAAGACGAATAACTACTTGATGAAGACTTTCTGCTGAATACGTTAAAAATAATATACTTGTATTATTATTTGTTGATTTCGATATTGTTATTGATACATTTTCGTTCATTATTACCCATTCATTTGGTGTTAATTTTGGATATGTTGGATTAATATCAAATAATGTTTGTGGTGGAATATTTGCAGTATCTGGAAGATAACTGGAAAATAAAATAATAAAAAAGGATATTTGAACTAATTTTAATCGAATTCATTTTTTGTCATACCGATTAAGAACTTGAGAAAAATCATTATTCCAACACTCTTCTATTGGTATTTCATCGTTTTGTTCTATCCAAAACATTATTGTTATTTGACAAATTACATCAGAAGAAACAGATCTAAATATATATTTAATAACAGAAAATAGAAAACGAATTCTATTCGGAAAAGAAGCGTGATTATCTTCTTCACTATTCAAACTATTTCCCTGAAGTTTACATAGTTTTGTTTCATCTAAATTTGTCGAGATGATCACTTAAAAATGTGATACATAAACTTATTGTTTGTTAAAATATCTATGAAAACATTAAATAAAGTGCATTTTGAAAATCGTTTTGATTTTAGAATGAATTTTCATCTGCAACTTAACGACACTTTTAATCAACCGTTTTGAAAACATTATTCTTAATATATTCCTATGACAGAAGACGTCTAGTAGTGTCAGATGAACTAATCATGATATCTATTGAAATGAATCGTTTGTTAGATTCCCTTTGTTTCAAGAATTTTTCATTAAAAATTGACAGATTTTGCAATGTTAAAACGTGGAGAAATTTCACCTTTGGTAAGAATATATGAAGCTTATCTAGCTTAATTTTCTTACTTCAGAAACAAAAAACAGAGTCTTACAATATATTAAAACATTTTCTCAAATTCAAAAAAAAAAAACGGTCAAAAAGAAATTATCAGAGCAGTCGATTTTCTAAAATGGTTAGATATGAGTGGGACTGAAAATTTAGTAGAAAGCGCTTTCATTATCGAAATGTTAGAACTGGTGGCCGAAACTAAGAACGAAACCTACTGTGATCCCGCTCTTTCCACAACAGACGATTTACACTCAGGTCGCCTCGCTTGGGTGTGAACTTTGTATAATGTTTTCATAAATAATTTGAAAGCAATAGATTTGTACATTACATTTCTTGATGCTCGTTTTCTATATCTATTATAGATAGGTTTCGATGAAATTAAAGTGAAATGAATATGAAATGAAAATAAATAAACTACACAGAAATTGCTTGAGTAATTAAAATGTTTCTTTGTCGATCGAAGTTTTTGAACATCTTCTACTATAATTCAAATTGTATGCATACCGAAGATATTTTGAAGGTTTATTCTCATATATACAAGTACCAATTAAATAATCATTAGCTTTAATATCAATTAAATTTTGTAACTGATAAAAAGTTTGAGGCCAATGAAGATTTCCTAATTAAGTTTTATTATAAGCAAATAACAGAACTTATGTAATTAGTTACCTTTAATTATTGTTTGTAATTCATGCTTTCGTACACGATATAATGAAATACTGAGACCTAAAATAATTCATCATGTTTTTATATAAAATATAATTTAGTATACCTTCAGATGTTGAATATAGTTGAGTAGAAAATATTTGCATGGATGATGAACGATATCGACAAGAAAAATCAGCATGATTCTCTGAAATTATGCAATATTAATATTTATTATTTATTCAAAATTACTTTGAAATTCAAGCATTTTTATCGCTATCGGATAAGTTCCTATTTTATATTTCGGTCTAAATAGGAAAGAAAAAAGACTCAGGATATGATTTATAATGAAAATTAGTTTAGTTACCTTGTACGAGTCATGCTTATTAGTTCACCGCCTATATCGTTTATGACAGATTGAAAATACTGTATATGAATAACAACATATCGATATGGTGTATCTGCTCCTACTTGAAAGCCAGCCTCTAAAAATATTTCAAATTATAAAAAAGAACAAATAATTAATGAATAAATCAAAACAACCTTTAGGCCATTGTACAGGAGGTATGTTATAATACCATTCATAGATAATCATTGATAGATCCATGTTATAACATGGTTGATAGCCAAACCTAGATTGATCTTTGAAATCAATCAGATTCTTTGTTTATTAAAATAAAACAAACCAAAAATTTTCTTCTATTGAATATGGTTTCGTACAGAGATAAGTTGTGATAAACTGAACTTTCTGACGATCATATATTGGATGAAAATCAACTAATTTCATTTAAAAAAATAAGTATATATATATATAAAACATGTATTTTGTCAACAAAATGACTAACCAATATACAACTCATCATTCATGGGTAATTTCATTGATATATAAATTGTTGGGTTACTCTAAAAATTATGTTTATTTGTTTATAGATAATCAAAAAAATATTCATATCACACCATAGTCTTATTCATGCTTGGTACAGCCAATGAAATATTGAAAATTCCTGACGAAGTACCCATCGATAAGTTAAACACAATCGTCGAAATAAAAAATCTGTATATAGCTCTCATTTTGAAAAAGAAAAGAATGAATGCTAGCATCTGAAAGACGCATCTGAAAGAAGTCAAGCGTAACATTCGAACAGGCAAACATATTATAGAAAAAAAGAAAGAAAAAAATATTGACGTTTTTTCTCTCCCAATATATTAACAAATAATGATGGAAATTTGATGAAATCATATGAAACGTGTATGTATTAAATAAAATAAGTAGAAATATTTGGTATATATGTTGATAATAAAGTGATTGAAAACTTAATATAATACCAATTAAAACGTATAATGTAAAATCCTAATGAATTATGAAAATATCTCGAATTTTTATAAGATAATAAAATGTTGATAAATATGATATCATATAAATAATATGAGATATACATGGATTGACATAATCTTTAAATTTTAATTTATGTAGAAAAATAGATAGTGTCCTAGTAAATGTCCTAAATATTAATAATCAATAAATATATGAAATTTATTGTGAATTTGCACGATCAAAAAGTCGTACACAATTAAGATAATATATAGGGTGAAAATGCAAAAAGATTATGCATTGTAAACGAGAAAAAAAAAGCTTTTTCAACAATGAATGCATGTGATAATGTTCCACGATCAGAATAGTAACCTGAATCAATTTTAGTACGTGGTAAAAATGTAAATGTTAATACAGCTGTTATTGATTGTATGACATCGGTTAATGGTAAACTCCAAATTACAAATGAATCTCCCTCGGACAAAAAAAACGCCCTTTTTTCATTTCATTTTTGCATCACTTAATAAGTTGTTTTAGAAAAACAAAATATACCAGGAGATGCAGCGTGAAAAGAACTACAATGTGCAAAGTAAAGCTTATTTTAATTTTGTACTTTTTGTTTTCAAAAGAAGCAAAATTGTGTGCGACCAATTTTCGACGCTGCGAAAAAATCATTTTTTCTGATCTCATCTTATCTCATCTNAAATCAAAATCGGTTTGTTTTGTTTTTTTGTTATCAATTCAAGAATAAATATCTAATCATTTCTTTTGATTCTCTTTTTAGTCTTCGAAGTGATCGTAGTTTACCAATGAGTTTAGAATTTATTCGTACACGAAGTTATATTAATGATCAATCATCGGGTCGACTTGAAATAATAGGCTTAAGTGATTTAAATAAATTAAAAAATAAACATTTACTTATTATTGAAGATATTATTGATAAAGGTGTTACAATGGTTACATTAAAAAAAGAACTTGAAACATTTCAACCGAAAACTATTCGTGTTGTTTCATTAATAACAAAAAGACGTAAAGATAAATTATCTTTTTAAAAAATTCAATAATATATAGTTACCAAGTTGTTCAGGTATACCAATATGTAAATCATCAAAAATTCGATTGGCTAATGCTTCAATACGATCTTGAACAAATCCATAAGGAATTAAGACTGATTTTAAATCATCACGATAATGTAATGGTAAACTAATAAATAGAATTTTTATATTATTTATAGGATAAAAACTTAAAAAAAAAACATATTTACTTGAAATAATTTAATGGATAACCTTCGCACGAATCTGGTATGATGAGTGGATTGGATTCAATATCTTTTTTTGAATTCTCATCTACATCTGCCATGTGTCACTATTTTGTATTACTTATGCTTGTCTTGAATCTACAAAGATTGGATACCCAAAAGAAACCAGTAATCTTTCTTTTTGTATAACTGTATTATGCTATTCCATCTCTTTTTTTTTTCTTTTCTTCTAGTATATATACCTCTCTCTTCCTATCTATTTTATAAATATCTATATGTTGGCATTATGTTTCGTTCTTCTACGCGTTCTGAATTGTTTCTTCTTTATCATAGTACATAAGATTCATAAGAATAAAAAGTGACAACGAAAGTTTTTAAGAGTATACGAAAAAGAATAAAAGTCAATATGATCGAACATATTCCTAGATCAAACTAAACACACTAGTATATGACAGTCGGAATGAAATTTAAAGATAATGAACATTGTAAAATATCTCTAAGTCAAAAACAGAAAACTTATCTTTACACATGTACTTATCAAGAAAGTAAATGACTAGAACATGTGCTTCATTTATTCTTATATATTATAGAAATTCTTTGTTCGAAGTCTAAGAAAAGAAAATAATAACTTATGTAACCAATTCTTAGAAATAATGGATGTAGTTACATAATAATGCAACTTATCTTATGAATTGTCAAATATTATTTGTCATACCGTATCAATTTTCTTAATAAAATAAATTTATGAAAATTCTTTGCCATTATGATAGATCTTATAGTGCATTTTATTATTTTATCAAGAAATAAATTATCGTACAATACTGTAGTCAGGTAATTGTTCAATAATTAATAATGCATTGAAAAATTTGTAGGTATTCAGCATTAAAACATTACCAGATAAATAATGTACGAAAATTTATAAAATGATTTACATTATCATGTAATTATATCCATCATTTACGCATAAATATATATTCGTTATTTCTAATTCTTTTCTAGAAATCAAGTACATGAAAACTCACTTTCTCAAGCTATAACAAATAACATTATTTACTATATTAAATGATGATGTGTTGAAAAAATGGTTTCTCAATATTAAAAAAAATAAAAATATACGTGGCGATTAATAATATAATAATATGTCTATTGAAATGCTGAAAAAATATATCATTTATATCTATTCTAGCTGCTTCGTCACGTTTATCATTAAAATCAAAACAGAACAAATAAGAAAGAAAAAAAAAAGGGTATTGTTTTTCATTCGCATTGTATTTATTTATTCATGCATTCAAGCATTTTCGTTCAGTTTATTTTTAATGGGTACAAAGCACAGTATTTATGTCGTGCGACACGAGTTTTTTTTTCTTTCTTTTTGCAAGATGACACACAACATTTATATAATTCTTTGCGAACTTGTTTGTATAGTTTCCGATTTATAGCGACAAATTAAAAGTCAGTAATACCAATAAAACGCTAATATGTTTTGAAGAAAAGTATTTCGTTATCATAGTTGTAGACATGATTATATTAGTTTTTAGAAAATATCGTGTTTTTTCGATACTCAACATTCAAAGCTTCGCATTTGGAGTGTGTTTTGAATACCATCTGGTTCACACTTATGAAATGTAATATTCTAATTTCATTCAAAAGTATTCAGTCAATAATTCAATATCCTACGGGAATAATTCACAAGACAATATAGATTCTTGTGATTTGAATCTAGCAAAAAACGTCCATATATTATCAATTCTGACATACACCACAGTATACCATTGATAATACTTAACAACAATCAGAAGAAGTACTATCAGATACATAACCGAATGCAATGAAAGATTTATTACGAATGTTTATTGTGAAAATAAAAACCGTAGGAAAATATGAAATGAAATTTTAAAAAATTAAAAAGAGACGTTAGTTATTTAATTTTTTTTCATATGTTTTTCATTGCGAATAGCATTTTCAATTATTTATTATTTAATACATAACTCAATTAATCATCGATAATGCCTCCAAATTATTTGGAGTAGAGCATGATTATTCATCACTAATGTTTACATATAATTTTTGTTTCATCTTTTGCACGCAAAACAAACGTTTATAGATTATCTAAACACGTTTTTTGTGATTCTTTATGTTTGAACATATAGTGAGTATCTCTCTATCCATCTAACTATATATACATATCAAACATATTCGTCCATGATGATTGAAATGATTCATGAATAGTTTGTATAGTAAGAAAAAAATATAATGAAAGGAAGAAGAAAAAAAAAGAAATACAAGGCTACGTTCGAATGGTTTCACCTGACTAATTTTCACCTTGTAGTATGTGTGTAATAGTCACTTTAATATTTCATTGTCGTTTCTTTTGTATGATGCGTGATTTAGAAGAAAGATGCAAAAAATAGTATCTTAAATGACAAATACAAACGTTCTTTTATTTTGAAAAATAATTATTAAAATAGACGTCTTTACAATATACCAAAAAAAAAAAACTACAATCGCATGGGTAGCACATTCGGTAAAAAACAGGGTTCTGTTCAAGCACCCCCTCAAATGGGTGCTCCTTATCCAGGTGTTCCACAACAACCTCAAATGGGTGTTCCTTATCCAGGTGTTCCACAACAACCTCAAATGATGCAACAACCTCAAATGATGCAGCAACCTCAAATGATGCAACAACCACAATATATGCCACAACAACCTGTTCAATACCGACCACAAACATTTCCACCTCCACCACAAGCAAGTATGCAACCTCAATTTCCAGGTGGACCTACGATGCCACGTCCTCCTAATCCATCATCTTTTTCATTACCACCTGGTCAAAATTCAGCAGCAATGTATGAAAATGATATGATTCTTGCAAGTTTAACTGGCTGGTCTATTGATGATATTGAACGATTACGACATGAATTTACAGGCTATGCTAATCCTTTTGGTGTTATTGATCGTGAGGGTTTTCGTAAACTTTATGTTGCATCATTATTAAATATGACATGGGATAATGTTGAACGTGATGCTGAAATAGCTTTTCGTAACTTTGATGTAAATCAAACAGGTGCATTAGATTTTAATGAATATATTACTGCTTGTTCACGAATGAGTAGAGAAGTAAATTCACCAATGACATCAGCGCCACCAACGAATTCGCCTTTTATTTATTAAATATTATGTTGGTTTTTTTTTTATATTACATAACTTTTTTATTCACTGTAAACGAAAGATAATCCTGAAGTACTGGTATAAGAAGTATTAAAGCTCCTTATCATATATCTATTCAAAAATAAGTACTGTTTGAAGTTGTTGATAATGTTCATTTCGAAGATAATAAATATACTTGTTGCAAATTGAGTGCATTTTTGTGTGTATGTTTAAATAAATTATATTTAAAACTAATTCTATAAATTTTTATATGATTTGGATAATAGCTAATGGATTATACATATCACATGAAGAAGTCTGTTTTTCTATTATATTAAATATCTTTCCCTAATACTAATAATAAGAATGACTTCGTTATTTATCACTTAATTTTAGTTATGTAAGTTTTTTTTATTAACATATAACAATGTATAGTAATCAAAAACAACTGCATGAATTGAATGATGTCTTATTGTTACGTCTTTTTTGCTGTTTTATTTTTAAATAAGTTACAAATGCTTATCGTTTATATACTAATAGCTTCGTCCCGTAAGGACAATTTGCAAGGTAAACTATAATAACAAAAACATAAGTGTAATTCTTACACAAGAAAAAATAATTATTTCTTCTTTTAGAATAGTGAAGTTTTATTAACCAAAAAGAAGCCACTATAATGATTAGGCAACATGTTAATTTTCTTTTTTAGTTCTTTCATAAATAATTGAAAAAAAAATGATCTAACAGTTATGAATAGAAAAAGATGAGTAAGATTACTTTTTTTTTATACTCATTCCTATCACGTGATATGTTTGTATATCATATGATGTAGGTATTGAAAAAACTGTGTGATTTGATTATTATCATTCACATTTACTTGTATGGCTTTTTCAACTAGATCAACCATTCTATAAAAATAAACTAACATATTAATTAGAATAAATTAATAAATGAATTACTCTTCCATATCAGTAAAATTTCGAATCGAATGAAGTCCTTGATTATTTTCGATTTTATCAAGTAACTAAAGTAAATAAAAAATTAATTTTTATAGTAATAAAAAAAATAAAGAAAATATCAAATCAAACCTCATTTGCACGTCGAACAACACTATCAGGTAGGCCTACAGTTAATGCAGCACTAAATGCTTGACTACGAGTACATAAACCATCAATAACACGATATAAATATACAAGTTTTCCATCATCGTCATACATTGTTTCCATAGTCTAGAAAATTGAACACATCAATAAATCATTTCTCATAGAGAAAAAAAAAGAGAAAAAATTCTTTACTTTACAACGAATTTTTGAACTTGCTGATACAAGACGTTGTTGAATAAGATCATGAAAATGAGTAGAAATTATGACATGTGGACATGCTTGTTCTGATTTAGACCATAGTGTTATAAGTGAAGCTAATAATGCTGTACCATCAATCTATAACATATTTAAAAAGAAAAACAAAATGTTCAAAATTCTTTGTTTTTTAATAAAAATATTATACCTCATTTGTACCAATACCAAATTCATCAATCAATACTAATGATCGACCAGTAGCACCGGCAACAGCAAATGATGTTTCAAATAAATCACGCAAAAAATTTGATACTCCCATTGTCAGATGAGTATCTACATAGATATATCTTCAAAAATAAAATGTTCGTTTCAAAAATTATTAACACATACCAGTATGAATTTTAACAAATAATTTATCCATTAAACCAAGTCGCATTTTATTAGCTGGTACAAAACAACCTTTAATCATCAATGAAACACATATTAAAGATGGTCCTAAAGTTCTGATTTATTAGGTATTATAAATGTTTCTATACTAATAAATATTCTCAAAAAACTGTTTTATAGAAAATGATACAATAAAACACACTCTTCAAAATGATTGTAAAACGATCCCTCTCGCTCATATAGTAAGAAAGCTATTCGTTTAGAAATGTCTATTATATTCAAAAGCAACTTATTCATTACAGAAATGTGCTGCGCCTATCGGTAACTGCAAATTGCTTTTCACTAGTTTTTTTCCCGATATTTATTGCTATGTAATATTTTCTTAAAAAATAGTGCTTCATTTTTGAACATTTACCTAAGAACAAAAACATAAAGTTGACAACACCACAAAAGAATATTTAATTAGATAAGATGTAATTGCATGTGTATATATACTTATAGTGTTCGCTTGTATCTTAACTTGTTTTGTAGTTTAATTTGTGCACAGTTAAATTTAAGGTGAACTTAAATATTATGCTCGTCCCAAATGCAATTCACTATTTTTTACGTCAGATCGATTTATTATCAGAATAATTTTTACTTAACATCAGTTAATATTTTACTCATTCAAAATGACAAAACTATTCGATTCCGTATTGCGAAATGATTTTTGAACTATTATATGATAAATTAAATATTTAATGCGTTAACTGGATACGACCAGAAACGTACATTAATTCTCTCTTTGAAACAAAAGAATCTTCACAAGGCCATAACTAACATTGTTAATGAAGTACAACAACCTTATAAAAATTCTTCTCTTTTACGTTGACAATCACCAAGGCACAAAAATTAGTGAAAGATCGATGAAGATATGACACACTAAAGACTGTCAAAAGAGAAGTAGTTGCAATCTTTATCATTCACGTAGAATTCTTTTCTTTCGAAAACGAAATTAACCCACGCTCCTATTTATTTAACGTTAACATTTCAGATATGCAATTAACTCCAAAGTCATTTCACAATGCAAATTGATTAGTTCAATCACACTTACGAGGAAAATATTCTCAGCTGCTCGTTTACTTTTGAGACTGGACTTAGTGAACTATGGCTACCATAAAAAGAGTTCGTGCTCATGACTTGTTTCTGAGATGATTGAACATTTTTAGTGAATTTCAACTATGGGACCTGATGTTTGCAGCAAGAGTATATTTTCGAATTTCGATCGGAAACTACGCAAAGACGTCAATTACAGTAGATACTATATCTAGCATGTATTTTTTTTAAAGCTTGATATCTCAGTCTAATTGACGTTTTTATGTAGTTTTAGATTGAAATTCGAAAATATGGTTTTGTTACAATCATTAGGTTCTACAGCTGATCTTAGAAACAAGCTATGCATACAAAATATTTCGTTTTAATGAATACAATATGAACGATTAAATTGTTTATAAATATTATAGATATTTATAAATTAATAACTTTTTTAATAATTATTGTGAAGAACTCATTTTACCGTACTTTGTCTATATAAAGACAATTCTACGAGAACATTTATTATAGAAAAAGAGTCAAAACTTCAGACCTATCCTTTACATATCTGATTACAAAGTATAACTTACCAATATGAGCCATATAAACGAGTAGTCCAATCTAAATACAAAATAAGAAAATCTTTATGCTTTAATATTCTTACTTGTTTTATATAAATAGTCTTTCCAGAACAATTAAAGCCAGTTAGAATATGTATATTAGCTTGATTAGGATTTGCATCACTTATATAACTATTTGGAACAACTGTCGTAATTGGTAATAATGGATGTCTAATAAACAAGAACATATATATGAAAAATTAGAATAAATTATTTATTTGGATATGAAAAAAAAAAAAACTTCCGTTTATGTTATTCATTTGAATTTAATATACTAACTTTCCATCGATAATTTCAATTCGATTATTGACTATTAATTCAGGTCGTGTATAATTATTTTGTTCATAAGCAATTAATGCAAATGAAAGTAAACTAAAAGAATTTTGAAATTATGAAAAATAAAAATATTTCCCTATAAATAAAGTTTATACCAATCAAGTTGTGAACAAAATTCAGTTGCATCAACAAACAATTCAGCACCATCACGTAGGGCCTAATAAATAAAATAGATTTTTTTTTTCAATTAAGTCTATTATCTATATTCTCACTAATGAAAGATGTCGTTTAATAGATAATTCTTTAGCTAATAATTGTTTTCGTTTTTCTTCAGCTTCTTCTGTTGTTACATTCATTTCACGAGTATGACTGAAAAAAAATAAAAGAAATAAAATTTATCAATGCTGTATTAACAAGGTTTTTGTCTTACCATCGCCAAATTTGTCCTTGTCGATCATTCCAAATAAGATCATCATGATGAAATTTATCTCCTTTAATTAATAAAACTCCATTATCCTATGATAATTGGAATCTTTTTCTCTCTATATAATAAACATAAAATCTTATTAGAACTTACTTGAGTCAAGGCACAACTTGATTCAATGCCACATTGTAATAAAAGATTATTAGCAAATTCAGCTTGTTGATGAAGTTTTTCATTTAATTGAATAAGATCTTGTCGTACTATATTTTGAACAAATAGAAGTTTTATGAATCAATGAAACAAGTAATACGTACAGTGTTCAAGATCTGGATCAGTTGGATCAATGAATATAATACGATTATCGCGTACACTTCGTTGTAAATCAACCTATATATATGGAAAAAATCTTAAGTAAGCAAATAAAGACGTTATCCAATGAGTTAGATTTTTAATTTCGAATAATTTTGTTAAATTCTTGTGAAAACAATGAACTCACACGGCACATTCCAGTCAATGACGGAGCTAGGATTTTAGTAAATAGGAGCGATCATAGTCATAGAATGTGTTTTCAAGTCAAATTATAGGATAGTAATAATTTGTTTTTGGGCAGTTTTTTCTGAGAAAAATAGTTTGGAAGAAAAGAGTGAGTAATCGTTTCCGTCTGAATTCACCATTGATTTCGGTATATTATATGACTTGAATATCTTTGAAGAGATCTATGGCAGTTGTGAGCGAATATTTGATCGCAAACGGCTGAGCTTTTCTATTGTTTTTTCAGTCAATTATATATAAATAGCAGTTGTATATTAATAAGGTACGTTTTCATTAGAACATCTAAATAAATCAGTTTATGACGATGATCATTCTCTCATTAGAAATTATTTTTCTGTATAATTGTATTTCTTTATTTTATTCAAAATATTTGTTGAAGTTTGCATAGGGAACAACTGTCCGTTCTCGATTTCAAGCACCTTTGAATGCTTAAGTACTTGTCTTTTACGTGAATTAGAGATGTACAGAATAAGCTTTGTTTTTTGTTACATATCCTATGTAATCTAAATTAAATTTTAATTTTTTCTCATACGTACACTTGTTTCAATAATATTCATTAATCTTGGTAAATCATCAGTAAGTTTTGAACAAAAATCATCAAAAAAATTTGTATTCATTCGAAATGGTACTAAAGCCATACGAATTCGAAGTGTTGCTCGCATTGACTAAAATAAAATTTTCTTTTCGCATATTTTCTAATTAATAAAAAAAAAAATATAGAAAATATTCATACTTCAATAATTTGTTTCCATACAGATATTTTTGTATTTTGATCAAATACTTTTCGAAGTAAAGGCTATTTAGAAGAAAATAAATCTTCTTTTTTTTTTTTAATAAAGAAAAGATTATTTATTTACTGGGATATTAACAATTTGTTTTAAATGATCACGTAATGTTCTTAATAATTCATATTGATTTGGATCAAGAAAAAATTGTACAACATCATATCGACGTTGTAATATTTCCGGTGATCGACATGGTTTAAGACACCATGATCTAATCATAATAATAAAGTTCTATAAAACTAACAAAATTTTACCTCAATTTACGATTTCCAATCGATGATACACATCGTTTTAAAAAAGCTTCAATAGAAAAAAAAAAACCAACACAAAAATATTGTTCAAAACATTCATCATCAATTACCAAAAAGACTATTGACTTCTCGAAGATTATTTGTCGTATTAGCTTTATATATCGATGGATGAAAGCTAGGATTAAAAATTTCCAAAGCACTACACATAAAGAAAAATAGACAATTAAAAGAAAAAAAAACATAAATCTCTTTTTTTTTTCATACCGAAAAGTAAATGGATGAACTATCATTAAAGCGTTGCTAGAAAAAAGCAAATTTTTCAATAGTAATAGTTTGCTGAAATCTTACAGATCATATGGACGTAAAGCAAGAATATTTCCAGCAAGAAAATCAAATTCATATGACAAAGCTGGACAACGTTCTTCAATAACTGGTAAAAGACCACCAATAGCACTTAACTAAACCAAAAATGTTTTTTTTTGATTAAAAAACACCAAGAAAAATTAAAATAAACTAACAGTATTTGGTATATTAAAAGGCATTTTTGCTGAAATATAAGCTCGTTTTTTTTCATCAGTATCACAAGTTAATGGATAAAGTGATTTAAGTGTAAGAATTGTTCTTTCAACAGTATCTTTATCTAGTTTAAAAATTAAAAAAAACATACATTTATTTATCAAAAATAAACTTTTACATCCGGAAGAAAATTATTTTAGTTGGTTTTTTTTATATATATTACCACCAACAAAAAGTGTTTTCTATCATTTTGTATATTTATGCTTTAATTTGCACCTACTGGATGAAAAATAAGTCTATTGCAAAAAGACACATTCATCGTCAGATTGTCACGTTTATCTATTATCCTATATAGTTTGGCATTTCAGGTAGTTCAGAAAATGGCACTTTGTTGTAAACACCGGTATATATTGTTCAAAATTAACGCTTATCATCATGTCTGAACACCGTTGCAAAATAGAAAATAGCAAAAAAACTAGCCTTCATAAACAGTATCGAAAAGTTATTCTTTCTATTTATTTATAAAATGCTGTTTCCAGGAACTAACTATCTGAAATATCTTATATTTATATTCTGATGAATAAAGTAAGTATTACATAGCTACAATTGTTGACAAAACCCCAAAAAGTTCGATATTTCAACTATCTCTTTGTTCCATTTTTTATTTGAAGCGTTATGCCTATCTAATACTGACACTATTCATCAGATCTTGAATGCAAAATAAGAGAGTTTCAAGTTTTATCAAAATATCTAATCACTTTTTTTTGTAGAGAACTATCCCTGTAGTGATGATAATTGAATTAATTGTTTAACAAGACAGCGGTTAAATTCAGTTCATGTGAGCGTGATGATGACGATGTCTTAGTTTTGTAACCGGTCGAGAATATTTGAATTGGTCTAGTTCGGTCCGTCCGGTTTAAAAAACATTCATTTGCTTTTCTTACACTAGGGTTTTAACATTTCTTCAGAAAGATATTCCATGCTATAGTCGTTTATATCTGTTAGATTTCTTAAAGATCAATATGTGATATTTGTATATATAGCGCAAAACAAATGAGTCATTAAGCCATCATCTGATTGCTTAACTCCAAATGTTGAGTTTATTCATTCAGTCTTTTGTGACAAACCTAACGTTTGTCTTCGAATGACGATGCAATATAATTTTAGCTCAAGTAATTTCAATTTTGAATGTGTTTTTTGAATAAATGAAATACACTTCGATTAAAGCAATAAAATAGTGTGGACGAACAGAAGAAAATAAAACGTGATAGTTTTTGAAATAAGACTGTTTGATTATTTTGATAAGAATAAGCAAACTTACTCTCAACACGGTTTTATCAGAGAAAAATGACATATCTATAAAGTATTTTCCACCAGGTGAAGACAGTTCGGACCAACCATTTCAACCAGTTACAATTCTACAGTACTTTTATTGTAGTAGATTTATTTTTTATTGAATACGCGCAAGTGAAAACATAAATATACTGGATGATAGAAAACTTTGATCATTTTTAGAATATGTTTTTTTGGTGACAATATATCTTTAAAAAATTGACTAAAATGATATTTTTTCCGGGGGGTATAAATATGTACGAAAATAAGCTTGTGGTACAAGTTGTAATTTCGTATTTGTTGAAATATTATTTGGATCAACTAGAAAAGTATAAAATTATTCTAATGAAAAAAGAAAAGATTTTATTATTCTTTACCTGTTTGCATGTTAAGATGTTCATTTAAAGCTTTATAATATTCATCACTTGTTTTAGCTGAACAAATAACTATTGATGGTTGAATATCAGTTAAAACTAAATGATGTTATTTTTTGTATTCTTTGTTATTTTATTTAATAAGAATAAAAATTGTTTTTCTTATTATTTTTCTTATAATATCTTACTCTGTTGAGTAATATCAAAACGTGATGTTTCTTCAACATCCGGAATGAAATAAATAATTGCTGAAGTCGAATCATAAAATGCAGCTCCAAGTTTATTATGTGCAAAGAATACACTGAGATAAATCTTTTGCAAAAAAAAAGGAAATTATTTAATTAAAATTATTAAATAGAAATATTACAAACTACTTGAATACTATGAATATCTAAATCAGACGTTATCGATGAGTAATCATCTTGATACATGTTCAAATATTGTATGAATGAACATTTTCATTTCGTCTGGGTGTTTTTCGTTTATTAACTACCACGTGTTGGATACATGTGATCAGCAAAAAAAAATCAAATATATTTTTTCATGGAATGATTAATCGAGGGTTTAAATAAAATGAAATTATTAATTAAAAAAAACGAAATTAAGTTAAATAAATCGAATTAATCTTATTTTGTTTATTTTTTTTATCTAATAATGTTAAAAATGATTATCTCTATTGTGAAGTTCTGAAAAAGAAAACTGGCACAATTTCTAAGAGTAGGGGTGCCACCACTCCTACCCCCCTCCCTCCTCGTGCGCCTCGTGATAACATCCCTGGTTATCTATGGAAATAGACGCTATTTCGTCGACGTGAGAATCAGAGAATGACAAAAGATAAAAATATTTTTCGTCGTTTTTGTAGAATCATATCACATGTTGTTCGATGATTAGAAAGTTTATATTATTGCATAGTCATCTATATCACTTGACTAAGAAAATCAAATATATAATTTATTATTTTGAAACGCATTTTTTATGCATACAAAGTATTTAATTATTGTTTTGATAATAAAATTTCAAGGTCAACATATTCCAATCATTTATAAATATATCTATATATCTATGTATATATATATATAGATCTATCGTGTACTTTTGCTCTTACATCTATGCGCAAATAGTTGCGCTGTTATCAGTGAAATGTCCTCATAAAAGACAGAAGTATTTTCATGATATATCCCAAAACAACAATGAATCGAAGGTCACGATAATGTGTTTCTTATCAAAGAGTACCCGAACGAACGAAACAAAATAACACTGGAGAATGACACTATCATAATGATTGGAGCATTACAGTAAGCACAAATTATTTCTTCCTTTTCTTTTCCATTCTCTGAAATCATATGTTGAATGCGTGTTATTCTCATGATTTACTTATCTTTTTTTTATTTTTCTATATCATAACTCGCCTGCGCATTCGTACCGACATATGTACCGTAGGCAAAAAATTTTGAATATAAAAGGCGTTAACAACGAATAGTAACGTGTGTTTTTTGTATTTCAGCTATTTTTTTGTTTTTTTAAATAATATCAAAATGACTAAAGGTCTATCTGCTTCAAATACTCCTATTACTTCAAATATAAATACATCAAATAAACAAGATTTTATTCGTCAATTATGGTCAACAGCAGATTGTGTTTGTTTTGATGTTGATTCAACTGTATGTGTGGAAGAAGCTATTGATGAATTAGCAAAATTTCAAAAAGTTGGTGCTTTAGTTGAAGCTATAACAAGAAATGCTATGGGTGGTAATATGAGTTTTCGTAAAGCATTACAAGCACGTCTTAATCTTATTCAACCTACATGTCAACGTTTAGAACAGTTTCTCATAAATCATCCATCACAATTGACAGATGGTATTACTGAACTTATTGATGTATTACATGAACGAAAAATTCCTGTCTATTTAATAACAGGTGGTTTTCATTCTATAGTTGATCCTGTTGCTAAAAAATTAAATATTCCATTAAAAAATGTTTTTGCAAATCAATTATTATTTAATAATGATGGAACATATGCTGGTTTTGATGAAGATAAAATGACATCTGACTCAGGTGGTAAAGGACGCGTCGTTGAATATCTTAAAAATCAACACGGCTATCAACGTTTAATTATGATCGGTGATGGCGCCACTGATATGGAAGCTGATGCTGATGGTTTTATTGGTTTTGGTGGAAATATTATACGAGAAAAAGTACGTGATGGTGCATCATGGTTTGTTAATTCATTTTATACACTTATTGAAGAACTTCGAAACAATACTATAGCAACTATTTCACATCATCAACCATTGACTACAAGAAAATATTCAACAGAAATAAAAGCGAATTAATATATATATATGTATTTCTTTTGTTGTTTATTCATTTACCATATTAGAGTAGAATGTATTGTTTCGTTTTGTTCTTTTCATATTCTTATAAACTCATAAACGAGTTGAGAAATAAAAATAATAATCAGGATGACTAAATAAGTCATGAAATGAATCATACTTATGTCTATATAACAGTACATTCATAGGCATCAGTGACGGAGCAGGTGCCGGGGTGAGGGGCAGAGGGCTTAGCCCCTCCTATGGACCACTGAGCCACCTGCCAAGGCTTTAGAAGAAAAATTACATCTTTCAAAATTCTTGCTCTGGAGAGCTCAAAGGTCTGTAGGAGGAGCTGAGCCCTCTGTCCTCCCTCCTCCCCACACTCTTAAGGACTTTGTCAGACATTAGCATACGAAAGCTGGTTTTAAAAAGTTTTGGTATCGATTTTTTTTGTACTACTCAAGTTGAAAATGATTTTAAAATAGCTTTGATCGAGAAAGTTTTTCGATTTTCACTTAAAATAGCACAGAGCTACAGCGTATTCTATGCACATCTAATGAAGATCTCATCACGTGTTACAAGCTGTTGAGCTTATATTTGTTGATCAGTAGAGAACATCTAAACTAGTAGAACTTCTAAAAGATTCTTCTATTTATTAAGATTTTACCAAGATATAAAATTTTCAATTCACTGGTTTTTTTTAAATTTTTTATTGTTTTACAAAAATTCTGCATTTTGAAACACTCATATCTCGATCAAATCTCAAGAAATAGGAAAATCCTTTGGATATTGTACTAGTTTAAATGTACTCTACTTATGAACAACATGTAAGCTCAAAAGTTTAAAATCACTAATAAAACCTTCATTAGACATTCCTATAAACTACTCCAAAGTTTTACCATTTTGGGTAAAAATCGTGAAACTTTTTCGAGTGAAGCTGTGTGTGGGTGAAAATATTAGTGTAGATAAGATTCTTATCTTCACCCCTACACACCCCACTTTCACATCTCCAACTACACTTAAGCATCTATAGAAACCCACAACCATATCCATCTTTCTGCTCAACCCAACGCTAAACTAGATATCATACTTCTTCAATTGAATGTATTAAAATCAATTTCAACTATAAATTATGGACATTTAATCTGGACTTTTGCAGTAGTATGCTTTAGCGTATATCATTCATTGAATGATGATGTGTAGAAGCTTGTCATAGCACACGTTTCGTCGTACTACTACTCTCACTGTACTGTCGTACTCATAAGGACCGACAGTAGTACTTACAACTTTCGACCCCAACTATACATAATTGTAGAGAGTGTTTTCTACTCAAATTCAAGTTACTTATTAGAAAAACTCAAATTAACCGAGAAGAAAACAGTTCCAAAATATATTTTACTAATGAAAACTTTCACAGCGTCATCTATAATCAACATTTTATTTCACAGCTAAGTACAAGCGACTCAGATGCATCATTATTGCCAGCGTGCATTGGAGATGATCGAGTTCTGCCAATTTTAACAGCCTTCAAAAAACACTTTCACGCTTTTTAAAAAAATGCTAGCGATAATTTCTTAGTAATTATCACGTACATTGAATTTTCTGAAAATTGAAATTTACCATTCCCTCAAATGTCAATTACTTCATACACTCTTTTTCATGAATGTCATTGTTCTAGTAAACATTTTACTTTTTTTAACTATTAAAACAAAGATATGTGACAAAAGAATAAATGTTATTATCTCGATAGTATTCTCTGTAAACTGAATCATGATACTATCACCTTTCATATCTAGATCGGTCATTGCTTTAATTTCTCATGAATAAAAATATTCAAAATATTCAAAATATAAGTTATATTTTATTTCACATAAGATAAAGTGAAACAATGATAAAATATAGTATATATATAAATATAAGGAACTTCTTTTTCTGAAAGAAAAAAAATTGTGAATTGTTAATTCATTTTTGTAGTAGATGCTCGTTGATGAAGTGTGCCTTCATTTGAACTTGTTTCTAGTGGATGAACACGAGCAATATTATTATTACGCGGACTAAGTTTACGTGTTCCAATTGAATTACGTTGTGTTGTCCATCCATTTTCATTTTCATCATCATTTATTTTAGCATTTATATTTATTGCTGAAGTCGAATCAGCTATTGATGATGTTGTTGATAGACCTCTATGATGATCAATAGTCATATCTTCATCTTTTTCAATAATACCAATTTTACGACCAAGCCAACGAAATTTTGCCACAATTTCTTCTTGCATTAAATCAAAACACATAGCTAAAATTGCCATACCAATAAATACATATATAGCTCCAAGAAAAAGTTTAGCACCGGCATTTGGATCATCTTTTCTTTGACCGGGTACCTGAAATATTAGTTTTTTCTTCTTCTTTTGTTATACAAAGTTTTTCTCATAATAATCAAAATTTTATGAATGAATAAAAGTATGTAATTAAAAATAAATTTAATATCTATTCTGATGATGAGAAAAGGAAAGAATAACAATATCGAAGTCGACAATGACAATAAAATTTATAAAAACAACATTGACGTCAATGAAAAGTATTAATATTTTGTGCTCCCAATAAGATCTAGTGGTATGATAAGTCTATAGCAAGAAGTGTGCTGAGCTCAGAAGATCATTGCTGTTCACAAGTACCTAAATGTATTCATCGTAGTAAAGCTCATCGTTCGAACGACTCAAAATGTCTTGTCATCAAAGATTACCGTATTGCTCTTACTTGTACTCTTCTCTTCAAGCATCTTATTCAACACACTGCGAGCTACCATTAAGTCGTTCCAATAAAAGCTTGAAATCAAAGATCAACCGATTCGATTTATTCAAGATAGGACGGAAACTACTAAGTAGATATCTTAGGAATATTGAAACAGCATCGGTGTTCTTTTAAAAAATATTCTGCAGTTGTTCGTAAATCGTGGATTCTATGTATTTCAGATGAGTACTACCTTTTGTTTATAGACACAAAGCAAAAGTGAAATAATCAATCAAATTCGTGATTAGGTATACCTTTGAAACAACCTAATGTGCGATTGCCGAAATTAAAAGAATCTTTGACACCTAACCTAATGCTGGTTTTTTTTTGTATTGGATTGGTCATCCCTTCAGGATCGCTTGAGTCAGAGGATGTAACATAGCAACAAATTAAAAGTATGACGTCACAAAAGCAACAGGAAAATATATAAAAAGGAAATTCATATTACATACAAAATCACCGAATCCAATTGTTGCTATAAAAGACAAAAAAAAAAAGAGAAATTCATGATATTTTTTTTTAAATTTCATGTTATGTATACCCAAGGTAATAAAACAAAAGTATCCCGCTTGTGTCATAGACCATTGTTCAAAACTATGAAATATCAACGAACCAGCCCATATATATGCTGCAATAATTAGCATTGTTATTGTTAATGGTACAGTAACTCGTGGATTATGTAATTGTTCTTCATCATCTATATCAGTTTCATTCATTGCATGATTTGCTGGTTTTTTAATTGTATTATTATTATTATTATCATGAATTTTCCAACCACCAGAATCCATACGATCAATATTCATACCACTTTCTTCTTCAATTTTAGCTTTATGTGCATTTGCACGTCGTTTTTTTATCATATGGCATGGCTTACAAAGAACTTTTGAATATAATAAACGAAACATTTCTCCAAGAACACCACTTATATTTGCAACACATAAAAGAAATATTGGAATACCTAAAGAGAAAAATAAATAATCGAACAAAATTTCTATTCATCATACCGATTGTTGCATAACATATACAACATATTTGACCTTCCCCTATGAAATATTCGATATTTAGAAGAAAAAAATGTTATTTAAAAAAAGAAGTGTTCTTACATGTCATTGGCCTAAATTAAAGAAAAAAAAAAGAGTTCGTCATTTATTAATTGAATTTAGTTTGGTTTTTTTTTATTTTCGTTATTCTTTTTCTTACGTTATATTTCCATAGCCAATCGTTGTAATAATTGTTATTGCAAAAAGTAAAGAATTTGGATATGTCCATTTATTAATAATCGAACAATCATCACCATAATAACGATATTTTGCACCAGTTGTTATAACAAAATCTCGATAATCATATAACATCAAACCAATTTTTGCATATGCAGTCGTTGTATTATCTTTTTCTGTTGAATATGTTAATGTTGTTGTTGTTGATGATGATGATGATATATTATATTGTATATAAGAAACAAGTTTTTGTTTAAGTTTAGTTATTTGAACTGTATGTTCACCCTGTGCTTCTTGACAATTTAATTTTTCGTGATGTTGTTCAAGTAGTTCAAATAAAAATCCACCAGCAATAGCATACACAACAACAAGACCAACTAAACCAATATGTGAAAATAAAAATTTTGCTGTTTTTTTTATTAATCTTCGTGTTTTGGATGTTTCTATTTCATCAAGTTCACAATCAGATTGTTTATGTTGATAATTATTATCATCACGAATAATTGATATATCATTTCGAGGAATATTATCAATGTTCATTGATGTATCTTGATATGGTAACATTTTGCTTTTCTTATTTTCTCAATTTACACATACATTCAAAAACAGAAATACAAAAATAAAGAAAAAAAAGGCAATTTAATTAATTCATCCTGAAAAAAAAACGAGAGAATTTTTTTTACTTTACTTTTCCATAAACATATACACATGAATCGGTCTCATTCGGTAAATATGTTTTCTACTTTTTCTTCTTCTCTCGCTTTCTTTCTTATCCGACTGCATTGGTTATATTTTTTTGTCACAGACGAAAAAAATTGATTTAGGTAGATATAGAATGAAAGAAAAGAAAGGAGCTAGTGTCTCTCACTAGAGACTTGCCGTTTTCTCCTTATTTCTCACGTTTTTCCTTTATTGTATTCATCTAAATATATACAAATGTTTGCCATCAGTTACTTCCGATGACGACGGCGACGACACTAAACGTAACTTGCAAAATGTGTTGTATACTCGTAGAAAAAAAAAGATCATAAATTTTTTAGTCGATTCATTCAAATCTATATGGAATAGCAGAGCAAAAGAATAAGCGTATTAAAAATCTACTAAACAAAATAGAAATAAACTTTTGTTTCCAATAAATTTAACTATTAGTTTCGATATGAAGCTTATTTGAATAGATATAATAATCATAGAATTGAGATCAATATAAACTGATATACGATTGTCTAACAATTAATTTCTTGCTTGTAGACAAAATTTTATTGACACATATATTCTTATTTGTATGTAATTAATAGAAAATACAGTTTCTCTTAATATATACTTGATTTTCACAGCGTTCTTCTCTTTCTTATAAAAATAATAGAAATATATCTAAAAACAATGAAGAATTTAGAAAGAAGAAATCGTTTACAGTTTCTTCTTTCTTCAACTTTTCAAAAAAAAAAAAAGATGCTTATAATTTTGTCTTTTTTTTAATTCAATTTAGTCTTGACAAAACAAAAATAGGCAATAATGTAAAAACAACATCATTAACCGTCTTCGAGCGACAACACTTTATATAATTTTATTGATTTGTCATCCTTATTTTACCTGATTGAAAATATTAAATGCATAGGAGATATTTTCATATTTATGGTTACAAATATAAACGGTCGTCTGTCTATTAATTATCAATAGTTTATTTTCTTATTTATGCAATATTTTCGAGATTATCGTCAAAAATGTTACGTTATATTGACCTTGATCTTTTTTTTTATCTATTTTAAATTTAATTCACAAAATGACAATGATAAAAAAAAGCAACTATTATCACCAGGTTTGATGTGTTCTTCTAACACATACCTTTTATATTTTTCTTATTCTTCTATCACATTATCTACACACTAAAAAATAAAAACATGTCATTTGTCTTCAAACAATGAAGAAAAACCAACAACAACAATAACTATGCTTTCTTTTTTTTGTTTCTTGTAGAATTCATCATGAATCATGATCATGCAGCTATGATGGCTAGTGCAACTCCAACAATGAACCATGATCATCATATGATGGATCATTCAACTAATACAGGTGCACTTTCGGCTGGTCATGGATTTCATATGAAAGATATGATGATGGCAGTAAGTATGAGTTTTAATATAAAATAGAATGAAAATTCAGTAAGATGCATTAATATTTATGTTTGTGATCGAAAAAAAATTTTGTCAGAGGTATTTTTCTAATTAAGACAAGCGCCTCAACCATACAATTCAAACGAGTTTATGAACAATTAAAATAAGCATAACTGTGTATTCGAATTAATTGAGTACGATATGAAATTATTTTTTTTATGAGTGTAATTTTTGTCACGTCATAGTGGTATATGAGAAAGAAAAGTTTTTACTATTCTGAGTATGAATTCTGCTTGTGTTTAATTACAATGCATAAATAAAATGAATGAAAAAAAAATATGAAGAAATTCTTTCTTCTTTTCTTTAAAGCATTAGCAATGAAACAGTTATGATTGCAATGCTCATCTATGGAAATTTCTTGAAAAATTGCATCTGAAAAAGATAATTCTCTTGATAAAAAAAAAACTTTTGAATAAATATGAAGATATATTTTTCTACGAAATCGATGAAGTCGATTGAATATATTAAAACAAACAAGATAGAATCTTGAGAAAGTTTCAATAATTCAGATGCTGTAAACTTAATGAGAAAAGAAAAATCGTTTACATGAATTTCAAATAATATGATAACTTAATTTTTATTAATTTACGATTTTATGTATTAAAGTTAATCAAATAGATTGTCAATAAAAATAAAACCTTGATATTTTATATATGTGTCTGTTAAGCCGTTTGATATTCAAAAATTTGAGTAAGAAATTTAGATTGATGACTTATGTCTCTAAAATTGATATATAATAACCAGCAATGTTTTTTGTTTCTTGTTGAAAAACTAATAAAACAATTGAATAACTTATGAGAAAATACTTTTAGAATGCAATGCAGAAATATCTCGTCAAGCACATGAACCTTTGTTTTCATAAATATTATAAGATTCGACATGGTCTCTAAGAAAATTGATCGTATATGGAAGGAAAACAAACAGACTAATTACTCTTTTTTTTTCATTGCGAAATCTACACATGAACAAAGGACTCTTATTTTTAGCATTTGTCTTTCAATAGAGTATAACTTGTCCTAACTGGTTTCATATAAAGTCATAGTACCATTTATTGAGCCTCGTTTTCAGTCTCTACAAACTTGTTTACAATAATTCATTCAGTAATCACGAACAGTTTAAAATTTTTCGAACAAAAATTCTGAATTTATTTGTTCTGATTGTTGTTTTTTCATAGATGACCTTCCATGGTGGCTATAAGGAACAAATTTTATTTGATCAATGGTATACACAAACTAGTGGTGGTAAATATTGTTCATCATATTTAATTTTTACAATACAAAAAAATCAAAATTTCTTTTCTTCAAGCATTTGTTGCCTCATGGTTTGCAGTATTTTTTGTTGCTGTACTATATGAAGGGTTAAAAACATTTCGAGATGCATTAGCTAGACGTGATATATGTGAAACATGTACTTCGACAGAAAATCGTCAACACGCACTGTAAGTTAATTGTGTTTATTTTTAACTAAATCAAAAAAAAATAAATTAATGTTATTAAATATTTATATTGCGTAATTGCTTATGAAAATTATTTTAAAAAAAATTTTGCTTTAAAAAAAATTGTGATTTATAATTGCTGCTGTAGTATTCGTCCAGATGATCGCCAAGACGAAAGATCTGGTGAAAATGATTTAGTGTCGCCTAACAGAACCGAAAATCGTTCAACATATCGGTGAGAAATGATTAGTTATAACTAGTTGATTGTCTATTTATTTTTATTTATTTTATTAATGATTTGATATGATTTTTCTTTAGAGTTCGTTTATTAAGTGTTTCACATTTAATTCAAACATTATTACATATTCTACAAATGGCATTAAGTTATTTACTAATGCTTGTAGCCATGACATTTAATACGTATTTATTTTTTGCCATTGTACTTGGTGCTGGTTTAGGACATTTTCTATTTGGTTGGCGTCGTTCATCTGTTATTGATTATAATGAACATTGCCATTAAGGACAAAATGAAAACTTTATTATTATTTTTTTCTACTTATACATTGTACTTTTTAATTAATTGAAACTAATATTTTCGTGTTTTATTGGATCAAAATATTCCAAAGTTTTATCATTGTTGATGTATTGTAATTTATAGGTTTTATAATTGTCATTTGATTTTATAGAGATTAATTATTTATCATTGTATTATGTAGATGTTTTTGTTTCATGAATATTATTTTCTTAATAGTTCACTTTTTAATACCTAGAAGTTTTGTAAATTCTTATGAAAATCAAGTCTATAGTCAATGAAGACTAAAAATGCATCAAAACGAATAGTTTATAGTAGAATAGTGAAGATACAGCCCTGGACAAAAGTCACTGTCCACTATGAAGTGCTACTATTCTTAATGATAGTGGGCGGATATTTTGAGTGTATGTGTACCACAATAAACCTTGATCACAAGCATCAACCCGCTCTCCATCAGTTCACGTGCACTGAAGTTATGATTTGCAAGTCTTCTTTTCCTTGCGAAAAGCATATTCACCGAAAATATGTATTATCAGCGAAGCGGGTGACACATGGTCAAGATTTTATGAATTAGATATTTTTAGTGAGAAGACAATATCTTAGTTATTTTAATATGATTTCTAATAAAATTCGGACTTGAGATATCTACGAAATTGGCCTTTAAAATAAGAAATTAAAGGAAAATACTTGTGCCGGCATGGTTAATATAAGTCGATCATAATAGAGAATGATGTGTAAATCATAACTTCAGTACCTGTGAATAGATGGAAGACCGGTTGGTGTTACGGTTATAGTGTCTTGAAAGGATATCATAATATCCGTAACACCGATATCGAAATCTCCAACATAGCTATTAGGATATTCACTTAATGAATTCGCAGTATCCATATGTCGTTGAATTAGCGATTTCGAGTCAGCATAGCGTAGCAAGATGAATAACCAACTCGATACCCATGTATCTGTAAAATTGAGAACTTTCTGTGACTTTGTTGGATGTCGTGACTTGTAGCTCGTCATTTATTTTTCATTCTGGACAAACCAAGAAAGACTGGAAAGGATAAATGCTAAGGATCTGTTCATATCTTCACAAATGCTAAATCTATTCATAAGATAACTTTTTATATTTTAAAATCATGTACGAAGCCCTACAGCCAAAAAATAGGCTTTTATATTTCCATAATGTAATAAAATAATCGATGTTTTGAAAAAAAAAGATAAGAAATTGATGATTTTGATTGCTTTTTTTGATTTAATTGACTTTTTTCAGTTACAATTCATTAAAAATAAAAAGAAATCAGCTGCTTGTCACCTTGAGAAATAGTTTTTCACTTTATAAATTGTCTACATAGAATTTTTCTCTATTATGTCCTTATAAGAATATTGGATATGCAAGATGAAGAATGTTCTCTCTCTCTCTTTGTTTAACAAGCTATAATGTATTCAATTTGTTGTGAAGAACATTTTTTTATTTAAATAAAACTACGTATATATGCATACATAGGTGTGATTGAAAGACTTGATTTTTAGTTGCATGTGATTGAATAATGATCTAGTTAAAGATAAAAGCTGCAATAAAAATACGATTCTCGATGATTTTTAAGAGTGGCGAGGGTCAAAATGTCGTAGACAAACAGACAAAAACAGTGTGGTATAAAGCGACAGGGAAAAGACATCTACTAAAATTTGTTAGACAGTTTTTGGAGTCAATAATCAACATTTTCGTAGATGCAGCATGAAAATTGGAAGAGGATGGGTCACCCTCCAATCTATTTCATCTAAATCTCAGAATAAAACTGCGTATATATTTGTGTTCCACCTTCCACTGATATATACTTAGGGTATTCTAAAAGTAGTAGCAGTGACATTTTAATACCATATAGTAAGCTTTTAAAAACTTTTCTCTCTGTATAGATGCATCAAGTCGTATATTATACGTTTCCCTAGTATGTTGTCTGAAGTTTTGTTTAATCAATTTTCTAAGTGTGAAAAACATGGTTTATTAGCGAAAAGGAAACAGCAATAAAGCTCTTTTCTACAGATGTTGTCAGAAATATCATTGAGAGCTTCGACTGTAATGCCTATAACTCCGAAATGATTAATTCAAAATATCTGAACCCTCTGCAGTTGTGTAGATCTTCTCTCGGCGGTTTGAATACACACCTAACGATTGAGAATTCGCTGTAAACATCCGACGGCGTAGGTTTATTTTCAAAGAGATCCATTGAAAACCTTAAAAAAGTCATGTCAACAAACCTATAACATACGATTCGATGTAGAGTCTTATCGACATTTTATCATTATGATATCAGTTGAAGCATGCATCAAATAGCATAGAAAAATAGAGCATTCTTTTCTCTATCAGACTGTATAGAGAAAAAATTTCTTAAAGCTTACTATCAGGTATTAAAGTGTCACTGCCACTACTTTTGAAATGCCCTAAATACATATAGCCACCGTGAGAAAAACGAATAGGAAAAAAGAATTTATCATGACGTGATTGACAAATAAATTCATCATTATCATTATGATATTATAGTTTATTGTATTTTGTCAAATTGACTTCTAAAATATACGTACATAACAAAAACTTTTGATTCATGTAGAACTAGCATAAATGGAATAAAATGATTGAATTTTTCTATTTCTTTGTTAGTGAGGCCAATATTGATTAATATACTTTAAGAATTAATTTCTCAATTATTGATTATTTGAAAAGTCATTTTAGACACTTTTTACTATGTATTGCATTTAAAATACGAGTGGAAATTTAAACGAAAAAGACATTCTTTCTTTTTGTAATATGAGAATAAACAATATCGATTAAAATTAGAAAGACAAATTTTATCAATGAATACAACTTGATTTCAATGAATTAATAATCTATTGTGGAATATCTTTATCTTGATAATAGATTGAAACAAATTCTCTTACAATCTCTGGAAAGCGTTGTTCAATAATTTCTTGATGAAAATGATATTTAAATGTGCTTTTATTAATACTTATATCAAGATATGATCTTTTATAATTAGACTAAGAAATAGGATAAATACATTTATTATCAACTAATGAATATTCAAAGTGCTTTTCAGAAAAACAAAACTCTTTTATTTGATAAATAAAAATAAATTTCCGACAGTTCTTGTATGAAATTCAAGATCAAACATATTGCAAGGTCAATTGCAAAACTTTTAGATTATAATTATAGATAAAAGAATATTTTTCCCTTGAAAATTAACAATAGAACGTGTTATGTATTAATCGAACTCTAATGAATCGACAAACTCTCTATATTCAACATTTCTCTAAAGATAAAATATTTCTAATGAATTTTGTTCAATCAAACTTATGAATAATTCTATGAAACAATCAAATTTTAATCATTCATGACAAAATCATCTTTGATTTGTTTATCTCAATTTTTTTCTAGATAATAAACTGTTCGTATCGAGGATATTAGAGAATGAGTTTCTATATAGTTGAAGTGTACTAGAGTAAAAAAATAGCACGAGCTCTTACTTGATGACCAATATTCAATGACACACTAGATAGATCTTCTCTATGCATGAACAATTGTTCATCATTTATTATAAATGAAAAAGCATAGAATTATTTTTAAAAAAAATACAATTGTTTATTGTGATAGAAAACACAATTTATATCGGACAACTAATATCTAACTGATGATGACTATAAATGTGTTCATTGAAGAACAAGTTTTTTATCGTTTCAAACCAAAAAAAAACATAATGTGACCACGTAGAACTACAATAAATACATTAGTATCAGGATAAGAATGCTTTTGCCTTTTTTGGAGAAATATTCTCTGCTCATATTGACATTCTTTCAATAGAAAACCTCATTATTGACGCCTTCTTTTTAATGGATTTGATCGTCAATTAATACTGCTATTTGTCATTGATTATAGCAGTGCCGCTTTGATATTTTTTTTTTCTTTGAGTAAATAAATTGTTTCCTTCTGTTGTGTTTGCTTACAAGGACTTTACTTTTGTTTGCCGATTTCTTATTTGTTATAGCTCACTTTTTGATAGGAACGGCTTCATATCCACAATTCTTTGTTGTTTATTTAAATATGTGTTATTTAATTGTTTTTTTCTCATTTTTTGTCTGCAACTGTCATTTGTTATTGGTAAAAAAAAGCGTTGAATGTTTCATATGAATCGCATAAAATGTAATAAAAGATCGCCCTTTGTATTTGGAAACAATCTGTGATATATTCTTATATATATATATATATCTTGAAAAACTCGATAACAAATAACCAGTGACACTGAGGAAACCATCCGCTTCCATTGCCGGGGTAATTTTGCAGAACGATTCATCAGAAAGTTTTGAAATTTTCAGAGAAGATGGATCTCGATAAATGAAGTAAATGTTGTCATGGACTGAAAACTCTTGAATGTCTCCCTGCAAAAGATATTGGAGTTTCATGATCAAAAAGTAACTTTTCTTATCATCTCCTCCTTCTCATCATTTCAGCCATAAAGTATCTAATAGGGCTAAAGTTCTTTTACAGATACTAGACACTAAATAGCAATACTAGTTTATTTTTTTTATCTAAAAACTTATTTTAGAAAAAAACCGAAATGATATTTACAATTTCATAGTTTCAACGAAAATGTTCCATCTTTTCGGTTTTTGAACTTTTATAGTTATTCATTGATTCTAAAAATATATCCAGTCAATAGAAGATACTTCGAAACATATATAGAGCAGAAGAAAAAAATGAAAAATCTGACAAGATCCCCTTAAGCCATGTTTTGTTAGATAATCAGATTTGTATAAAAAAATATGTAAGAGGTAAAACAAAAAAGAGTGTTTTTTCGCATCATAAGTTCGTCATAGTGAATTCAATTAGTTCTGCTCTTACAAATCGTAATATCAAGCATAAATGTGTAGACTAACGTTCGAATAGATTTATCCAAGCAAGAAAAATCATCATCTAAAGGAAATTTCAATCTTTAATACTTTACAGGAAATGCAACGACTTGGAAATAATTATCTGTTTTTTCTTACTCCGAATATAGACACGAATTTTCAGCAGAGATAAACTTCATAATAATGGATATTGCCTTCATTTGACAGTTTTATGCTCGAAAATGTTTTATACTAAGAATCAAGAACAATTTTTTTTGTTTCGGAAGTAAACATTACTATAATTTTTATCAAATTATCAGTTGTTTTTCAATTATGAAAATGGAAAAATTTTTTCCAAATCTTTGATATGATAAAGGAATGACAAAATAAAACATAACTGTCATTTACAATCGACTATAATCATACAGTCACTCACAGAAGTTATCTTTTCACGATTATTATAAAATTGCAACATCTTTCATAATAACTTTCATCAATATACGAACAACTACTTGCATTAAAAGCATTGAAAAGAATACTCGATATTGATAAGAATCTAAGCTGACATTATCATAGATAATAATTGTAGATATAATTAAATATTTACTCTGAATAAATATCATGAATAAATCCTACAGACGAAAAATTTCATATTTATAAAAAACAAGAACTGATTCGATTTAAATTGCTTAAACTACAATAGTTTCATTGATTTATATATCAATAATATCGAATAACAACAATGAATAGAAAAATTATTTTCGAATAAAGCATAGACTATATGTTTTCTTTCGTGCTTGAAGGAATAATATATGTAAAAATTCGAACAGACAGAAAAACTGTTGACATTACATTTTAAAAGAAGCAGAAGAAGAAAGAAAAAAAAGACAAAAACCATGACTATACACAGTTGTTCTATAGTGAATAATCATGATATTCTGATCATATAGATTTTTATTTTTTGTCTTTGAATAAAAAATAGAACGAAGAAAAAAAGAAATGTATTTAATATAATTGATTATTTCTTTTGAACCTAAATAAAAAGAAAAACATATGAAATTTTTGTTTTTTCTTGTCATAACTAAGAATCTTTTTCATTTAAACATACCGGTAAATATAATTTAAATTCCGGTGGTAATTCATCTTCCGAATAAAGTCGATCCGAAAAGTAAACACGTCGAATACGACAATTAGCATGAATCTATAGAATCAAAAAAAGCAACGAAAACTTTATAAAAAAAAACAAAAGTAAATCTTTAATAAATATAAATATACTTGAACTCGAAGGGTTTCAATATAATTGGTACCATAAGCACGTCGTGTAAAATCAGATAAATTAAATTGAATTTGATTCCATCCATCATCCAAACGCATTGGCATTGTACATATAAATGGTTTTACACGTGTTGTTGATTGATAATTACTAGCACGAAAACGTCGACGAACATTTCGATCATCAAGAACCTTTTTTTTTGTTGAAAAATTAAAAATAAAATAAATTTTCTGGTTTATTTATTCTTACTTGTACTTCAAATGTAAAATATTTTTTTAAGTTTTTTATAATCATAACTAGAAATGGTAATTTAATACCAAGTGTTTTTTTTGGATCAGCTGGACATGTTATATATGTTGTACTAACATTAGTACCAACTATTTCCAAGACAAGTGATTGAATTTCATTATCTGTTATTCTTTTGATATGTCCATTACGTACCTAAATAAATATCAATATATTTTATTTTTTAATAACAAAAAAGAAACATACTTTTTTATCCCAAATCTGTAATGGTTTACTACCGATACTGTATAATATCGAAAGAAAGCCGCTTTGAAATGTATTTTTGAACATATCTAAAAAGAATAAATGAATATTACTGAGAAAATGAGAGCATTTGTGAGAAGTAAGGTCGTCATAGGTACCTCAATCACTTGGAAACACAATGTCGATGGACGACAACGACAACGATGATTATTTATTTCTCTTTTTTTTTTCTTCTTGATAAACATGGCCAAATTATTACCTAGTAACCGACTCTGATCAAGAGATTCGAATATTATTGAAAATCAAGAAGAAATATTAAATTTAATAAGAATGCCTTTATAATGAAATTTTCCTTTTTCTAGTAGAATGAAGTTTTTTTTTATCAAGCATAGAGGGCGTTAAATGACGTCTAGTGTCAGTTTTGCTTAACCCTTTCCGGCCCACCGTACTAAATATTGTACGGTTTTTTCAGGTGTCTTAACTTTTGAACATCTTAGGAGCATGAAATGATATCGAGGTGCGGTTTTCTTTATGACGTAGAGGAGACTTCGGTGCATACATCTATGTAAGAATTGTAATCCTAACGAGGTCACTTAAGTAGTAAGCCTGATGATTTCTGGAACACTACCTTTATTCTAAAAAGGACAAGGGCGTAGACATCTACCAACACCGAAACTTTTGGGTTTTGAGGATTTGGATTTTGGGTGGTTTGACGTTTTTGGTCACGTTTTGGGTGTAACCTGACTTATCAAACCCAAAGCCTAACCCAAAGTCTGAAACTACCCAAAACCCAAATCCCAAAAGTTTCGGTGTTGGTACATGTCTAGAAGGGCGAACCAGGCTCTTTTGCAATCCCCAATATATCTCAGTTTTTCGTGCTGGAATCAAGTTAGGAGTGGCCCCTAGTGGTATTCCAAAAGTTAATTTTGCGTCAGATCTCAATCAAATTTCGATCTACGTCTGTACCCCACATGGGGATGACCAAAATACTTCTTCACCATCGCCGTAGGGGGATACGAGAATGGGTCGAAAATAACTTTAAAGGTTTTTAAAAATTTTTGATGAAAATATCGGCAATACACACTGCCTATATTAAATATAAAGTCTCCAAGAAATTTCANTAGTTTTATATGACGAGTAACTTTAGAAAATTCCTTATAGAAGATATTTGATGACTAAAATTTTATAATCAAAGAGTTTGTATTTCTATGTTAATGTTAATCGTGACATGTATGTTTCAGTTTTGTCTTTTTTTTTGTAGATACTTGCATGTATCCTTATAAAGCAAGAATGATCTACCCGACTGATGGCAATCCATCATTTATAATATCAGCAGATTTCAATAATGATAATAGACAAGATTTAGTTGTAGCTACGGGTGATAACCACAAAATTAACCTCTTTCTTGGCAATAAAGATCAAATTTTGCAAACTTCAGTGACATATACTGTTGGTACGTATCCATCTTCTATGACATCAGCTGATTTCAATAATGATGGCAAGTTAGATTTGGCGGTTACTAACTTGGGAAGTGCCTCTGTCAGTATATTGCTTGGATACGGAGACGGAACCTTTCGTAGACAAATAGTATATGCTACTGGCCAAAACCCATGTTCTGTAATATCAGCCAATTTAAACCATGATTACAACATGGATATAGTAGTAGTTAACAATGGTAACAATACCATTAGTTTATTCTTTGGTTATGGAAATGGAAGCTTTCGAACTCCTATCATATATACAACTGTTAACAGTCCTGTTTCTGTAATATCAGCTGATTTTAATAATGACGCTAATATAGATTTAGCAGTTTTGAGTCGAAACGACAAAAATGTTAGCATATTATTTGGTGATCGAAATGGAACATTTCAAACTAAGACAACATTTACTGTTGGCACTGATCCAATTTCATTTATATCAGCTGATTTTAATAACGATAGTCAGTTTGATTTAGCAGTCATCAATGCTGATGCAAGATGGGTCAATGTGTTTCTTGGCAATGGGGATGGTACCTTTCAAACTTCATTGATATACAACATTGGTGAATATCCAAGCTATTTGATATCTGCTGATTTGAATAATGATGGACGATTAGATTTGGTGGTGTCTAATTGGTGGGGTGAATCTGTCAGTGTATTGCTTGGATATGGAGACGGATCGTTCCATAGAGCTGTCTCGTATGCAAGTGGAGACAATTTGAACATCGTGATATCGGCTGATGTCGATGATGATGGAAAACTAGATTTGGTAATAGCTAAAAGCAATCACAATAGGTTCATTCTATTATGTGGTAACGGAGATGGCACTTTCCTAAGTCAAGTAACCCATGCAAGTGGTGTGTCTCCGACGTCTGTAACATCAGCCGATTTCAACAACGATAAAAAGCTAGATTTAGCAGTAGTTAGTCAATATAGCAATATGGTTGGTATTTTTCTTGGTTATGGTGATGGAACCTTTGGAGCTGCGGCGACATATCCTGTTAGCAGCTATCCTGTCTCCGTAATATCAGCTGATCTTAACAATGATAAAAGTTTAGACTTGGTAGCGACCAGTGTCGGTGACAACAGAGTTCGCGTATTACTTGGATATGGAGATGGAGAGTTCAGAAGCCAAGTGAAATACGATGTCGGTTCATATCCACTCTCCATTGTTTCAGAGGATTTTAATCATGATGGAAATATTGATTTGGCTGTACTCAACGCCGGTGAAAATACCTTCAGTGTTTTACTTGGCAATGGGGATGGAACATTACTCACTCAAGTAAAATATGAAGTACCCTCCTCTTTATCTGCTATGATATCAGCTGATTTCAATGATGATGGTAATCTAGATATAATAGTATCGAATAGAGATATGCAATGTGTCAACATATTTCTTGGCAATGAGGATGGTACCTTTCGAACTTCAATAGCCTATCCAACTGGTGCTACTCCATCTTCTTTGGTATCAGGTGATTTCAATGATGATGGCAAACTAGACTTGGCTGTAGCCAACAAAGATGGTGATTCCGTTAGCATTTTACTTGGTTATGGCGATGGAAACTTTCGATCTCAAATAACTTATGCAGCTAATAGTTCTCCAAAATTTATAATATCAGGTGATTTCAATAATGATAAAAACCTAGACCTAATAGTGGGAAGTACCGATAAAAGCACACTCACCCTATTACTTGGTAAAGGAGATGGATCCTTTCGTATTCAAATAACATATTTAATTGATAAAAGTCCATCATCTTTGACATCGGCTGATTTCAATGATGACGGCAAGCTGGACATTTTAGTGGCCAGTTTAGATTCTAACACAATATCTGTTTTTCTAAACAACTGAAATTGATCAAAATACATACTTTTGATATACTTTAACATGTTTATTATTTTCAATTAGATGTTAAATTGTTAAAATACTATTGTTTTCTTTTATTTTCAATTATATTGTGTTATTCGTTTGTTAGAAATCATAGTTAATCTAGTACGAGACCTGTTCTTATAGACTCCTAAAAAGTACACAGAATAAACGTCTACTGGCATTGAATAGGAAAATACATGATGATACTTTAGTATAACTTTCAACTACATGTGTAGTTGTTTTCCTTGCCATTAAAATAGAAGAAGCATCTTAAATCTTTTCTTTGTATTGATGAAAGCGGTTACTGTAATAGCTGTTAAAACGTTTTTAATAAAAATTTTCTATGTGTGTACAAGTAAGACCAAAAGAAATTTTAAACTATTTGATTCTTCAATATATATAATATTATGAAACTAATTGAAATTAATATCCAAGTGTGGCATCAAATAGCAGTAATGAATACAAAAAAAAGATCCGCAAAATTTTTCTGGTTATTGATTTATAGTGGTAGCTAAGCGTCGAGTAAAACACCTGCTCTGTTAACGCCGACTGGTCAGGAGAAGAGTTTATCTAATCTTTCGCAGAACTTGAAGAAAACTGTAAAAGGTACGGAATATTTCAATCTTGATAAAGCATTTTAAGTCCGAAAAGAATTTGTACATGAATTCTGAAAGGAGAATTAATTTAACAAGGATAAAAAGTATAGCACAAAAAAATAAGATTGACGTCATTTTTATCCAATATATATGAGAAATCAATTCTTGTAAGATTCGATACAAGTTAGGTTAACGCCTTATTATTCCATCATAATGAGAATCTATCATTCAGTAGAGCAAATAACTCAATCTAATTACTCAAAAAACTGAACTAAAACTATTGAATATTAAGATCAACTATTCAAGCACATGGCTAATCCTCGTAAAAAGCATCTCGAAGATCCTGTAAATGAATGTTTTAATTATACTATATTATCAATCGATCTACGTAAAATATATGAAGCAAATAGAGAGAATCTGAAATTTTTCAAAAACTCAGATAGTTTATCAAGGTGAATCTATTCAAAATCAAAAATACTTTTAAAATATCTAGATTTAAAATAATCCTTTCTGTATGTGATTAAAGCTCAATTAACCAAGTTAAGAAATCTATACATAGTAACTAAATTTTTGGCACAACTGATAAATTGAGCATCAAGTCTTCATATAATCGAAAATTGATTTCATAGAAATGTTAGAAGATACGCCAATAATCGTTTAATAGATTTATTTTTCGGAATTCGATGTCGATCTTGACATAATCGTATCAATAGTTTTGATATTTTTTGAATGAAAACTACTTCATTTCAAAGACTATAAAGGCCAAAATAAAATGAACTAATCTTCATGCAGACTTATTTAGAAATCTTCTCTAAAATTTCTGAAAAAAAGCTTCCATTAGAAACAGCAATGATCTTTCATTCTTTCTATATCTCTCTTTCGGTGTTCATTTTTTCGTAATTTTATCGTGCTTTGTCCTTGACACTAGAGTGTTTGCATATATTATTACTTGTGTGAACTGGAACAATAAAATCAGTAAGAATACATCATTCAGAGATGAATATAGAGAAACAAAATAAATAAATGTGTGTTGCTCAAAACTGCTTTCTAGAGAGTCGATCGTAGATTAAAATTAAAAACAATAGCTATAATAGATTATAGATTTTAATGTCTTAATCTTCTTTCTTTTCCTATAATCTAACAAGATCTTCAAACATGATACTTTAATGAGCAACATTTTTCGATTGATAAAAATTTTGATTTATCTTCATCCTTCATGTAGAACATATGATACTGATGAGAACCGAGAAAATTCAAAAACTCTGAATATCGAGAGATGATTCCATATGATATTTGATAGTAAAAAAAGTCTTATTTTTATGGATAGACAATACCATAGCATCGTTTTTTCATTGATTGTATTATAAAGAAATAGATAGATAACGAGATCCATGAACTTGAAACTGTCCACAAAATGTGAATCATATTATTCGAAAGCATAATAGTAATATTTTGTCGAATGAAGTATAGAAAAAACAAAGACAATCATATAATAAAGCAAAAGATTTTCTCATGCGGATCGGATATTGAAGATGCCAAACGAAAAAAAGAACGTTGAAGGATTTCTAATTTTCACTTTCACTTGAAATGGTTTGAACTCCATTCTTTTTAGTTTTACGAATAAAATCAATGATTTTTGTACATTGTACTATACATTAGTTTTCCAATAATGATTTATTCTTCATATCTTCCTATTAATATGAATCATTTCAGTAGAGAACGGAAGATTACAAAAATAGTTAGTTGGACATCATGATTTTTATATTTTTAGTATTCTAAGCGTCCTCTCTACTTATAGTTTGTTAATTTTTCTAATGAATATTGGTTAACTGTGCAAAAATCATTTAGAATATATTTAACAAATATTCATATTAAAATATAGTAAAATCTAATAGTATTTAGTCAATAATAAGTCTTGCATGTAAAAAATAAGGATGTGGGTATGAGTGTAAGCATTCACATAATCTATATTTTTCAGGCCCATATTCACACTAATATCCTCATGATAGTATGTGTGCAAGTAGAACTGTTGATATCTTGTTTTCATACACCCATATCCTAAGTATACTGCTGTATTTGCTACAAGGAATATTAGTTAAAAGATCTACATTAGTTTACTACTTTAACTCTGGATTTTTTAAATTAAAATGATATTAAAAAATAATGATTGTATAGTTATTTTTCGATTTCATTTATTGTCTTTTGGTTCGCTGCCGAGCAATTGTTCTAGCGCTTGAATGCGTCGTTAACTCGTTTCAACAACATCCAACAACCTCATAAATTGTGCCTGAATGTAATCAGGATTTTTATCGTACATTTCCTTGCAACACTCACGAAGTTTATGCTTGTTATTTTGATCATGATGTGATATAGATCTTTGACGAATTTGGCATGGTGTTCGTTCATACTGAGACGTTTGTTCGTGTCCTTCAAGAGCATCGTATGAAAGAACTTCTCCACAACCATTTGGAGCATAAGCACAATAAATTCGAAGTTTAGATAATAAGTTGTTCAAAATAGGTGGAGGACGTTTTTACTTGAATACACAATTGAATGGACATGTTTTTTTGCTGAGACTGCAAGTTTTTATTAATCCATGTTCGTATGCAATTGCCACAAAAAGCATTTTCACATGTAACGCAAGCAACTGGTTTCCATAGAACATTTTGACAAATACTACATACCAGTTCAAAACCCAATTCAGTGTACCGATTATCAATACAAACTCTAGCTGAATCTAAATAACCCAGCTCTGTTGTTGATTTCAATGGAACAGTTGGATCCATGTTTCGCTGTCTATCAATCATCTAATAAAACCAGAATTTGCAGATATACATTTATTACGCTTTTTGAAGAATAGTTTTATGTTGTTACTGCAGATGTTTGTCACGAATGATACAAAGTTAACAAATGCAGACAAACGAGAGAAAGAAAAATTGCATAAAAACAATCAAGACAAATATTATATTAACGACGTAGAATTTTTTTTCATTTGTGGAAAATGATATAAGAGAAGCGCAGAAGAAAGAAAATGACGAAAAAAGAAAAGCATTCCTGACATTTATTGTATGCAAATGGATGAATTGTGAATAAGCTGTTACCGAGGAATGTCTATAATACACAGAGAAATCCAATTCACAGAAGGAATCCAAAATCTATAGGCTTACTTCTAGTAGAAGTTATAAGCCAATCAAATGAAAAGTTCATAGTTCACGACTATCGAAAATATTTTTTTCGTTTCTCGATTCGATACGAACACCATCGTACAATATATAAACTATAATATGAACAATATCAATCGACTTTTTTATTTTTAGTTTTTCATATAATGTATTTTGAGTTTGTTTTAAGAGATGAAATTTCAACTATGACAACGAAAAATAATATTTCCAGTAATACCTTGATAATATCACTAACTCTGCTGATTGTATCCTGACCATATCTTAGAAGAACTGTCAAACAAAAAAATACTCATGAGAAATTATGAAATTTCATTATCATAAATTGTGTTTTTTTTTTGCGGAAGTATCATCATTACTGATTTTGAAAATATTAACTTCAGAGAAAACGATTAGAGTGTGAATACGAATGTTGCTCTCTTGTTACATTCAAACCTACACCCTCAAGTTAGTTTGATCGTATATCGACTCGAAATAGACTTTTTTTATAAATAAAAGTCTGTAGTTTTCTTTCTTATTTTCCTTTAACTTTCAAGAAGAAAAAGAATAAATAATTCAAATAGAGTAGTGTTTTTGATTAAGAAGAAACCATCTCAATAGCTATATTATCACAAAGTTGTTTTTTTCTTTTAATACATCACTATCGAAAATAACTGCACGGTTGTTCATTTAGTTCGATGCAAAAATTACTAATTGATTAAAAAAACAAAACATCTCCATCATCAGTCTTCTGCATTCATCATTGAGAGAAAAACCCACCTATTACGTTGCAATAAGGAAAAATACAAATGTCAATGCACTTCACGAGAATTCTTTCTTCTCTGCGTCACTCACACTAAAGTATGCGAGCAATATCTCGTTACGATAAAGAAACAAAAGACATAGAACGGCTTTTTTGCCTTCGATGAGTGATTGAAAGTAAACTATTAAGATAAAAATTCAGTCAATACAGATTTAAGAAAAATTATTTTCAATTGAATCGTAGAAATTTGCATAACTCGACATTGGAAAATAATTATTGGGTATTTTAATATTGATCCTTTATATGAATTGTCAGTATGCAGCATGTTTTTCGAAGTAGTCTTTTTCTCATGTATGAGTCATCTGGTCTGTTCTGCTTATGTTCTGTGCATCTGTTTTTATTTTCACAGGCGACATCAGTTCATTTTTTCTAAGCATTTTCTGCAATTACTATCCACAATAATTT